GTGATAATGCCTCTGGGAAGTCTCATGAGGTGGCGGTGAACTTTACCCATCTGCAGCGAACAGTGAACGAGGTGTGATGTCACAGGCTTCTGACGCCACTAGAATTAGGTAAGGCTGGTTGCGACAGACTCAGTGTCTGTTTTTGTCAGTAATCTTATTCTATGTATCGCGTTCATCATCTCCCAAAGGTAAGGAAGAAGAAGAGGGTTCGGGCTCATGGACCAAATTATATTTGAACTGACGTTTCGAAGGCCTCGCGAGTGTTGTGGTAGCTGCGTCTGGTGGTCTGTGTGTAGATAAATGGCCAAATCGGGACTAATATGTGCCGTAACACAATAAGTGGGCACTCCTCTCCCGTGACATAGGTATGACCAGGTGGAAACGACAAACAAAAGGGGGGCCGGACTGGCCATTTATTAGCCACCACCAACCAGCTACACATAACATCAGATTTTTGCAGTATCTGCGGCGCAAACTTATGATATGTTTGTTAGAAGTTCAATTCCCTAACGATTGGGCCACGGCCTTTCGTTCGGTTGGTAGATTGTTGTTGATGTTGGTACCGGTATTCTGCTTATGATGCGGCTACTTGCACAGTTGGGGTAAGTATGTCCCGTTAAGCGATCCTTGTACATATACAGAGGAACGTGTCAAAACCACCTCAGCCGTCTTTCCTGGATGGCCTGAGATATCCTTGCGATGTTTTCGCAGGGAGTGCGGACAGTCTCGTTTGAGACAAAGTCGGTGTACTTCACTCGAAGGATGGTCTTCATGCATTAGTAGTCAAAGACCTCCAGTTTTCATACGTCTTCTACCCGTATAGTCCAGAATTCGCAGTCATATAGAAGAAGAGACCGCATGTTACGCGCGGGGCTTTTTGATAATATAAACAGATTGTATATCTGATGAAATGTGAAGATCAGAATTTGAGTGGGCGACTTGACACACATTTGAGGTTGTCTATTTTGTTCACTGAGTTGACTTGAGGTGCAAAATGTTGTTTGCTAGAAATGAGTCCAGTCCATATCAGTATACTTGGGGGGCAAAAAGAGGGGGAATAGGACTAAATTCAACGTTTTTTTATATCTAAGAAATTTTTTACGCTATTGACCGCTGATAAAGTTCAGATTCTGGAAAAGGGCTGCGTAAATTGTATGTATTTTTTGATGAATTTTGATTGCCTGTATAAATTCAAATATATTTTATCAAAAACATGCACTAAAAATTATTTGTAGTGCTCGTTTGGTAGCAAAGGTTAGCATTCTTTAAATTGTATACTTAGAGAAGAGGTATCTTTTGGTTCTAAAAAAACGTTAGAAATTGAAATTTACCAACTGCTACTCCTGAATTCAAAGTTTTCAAACAGCATGCTGTGTACATTCTGTCTAAAGAAAAATCGTTTTGCCTACGGTTTGGGGGAGAGGTCGCATAGTTCTCATTAAATGTTACAATAGATGTGGATCATGCTGTATACATTATAGGCAGCATTAATAAACTGACGAATATAATGTATTATGAATGAACACCTCACAATCGTAAGAAAGCTCATAAATAGAAATTTTTGAAAACCGAAAGATGCCCTTTTTAAGTATAAAATTTTAAAGAAGACGTAATTCGCTACCGAACATGCACAAGAAAGATTCTTCGTGCATTTTTTCTATAAAATATATTTGGATTTATCAAGGCAGTCAAAATCCAGGATAAAAATACATTCAATTTACTGGGCCATTTTTTTAAGAATCAACTTTTTGTAAGCAGTCAGAAAGAAGCTCTTTATGAAGCCAGTATCCTGATACGACTGAAAAGACTTGAGATTAGACTGCACGATGATCACTATTGCAACCGTTCTTTATGTGGTTTTGCGAGTAGTTGCCAGTCTTTCGCAAATTGTGGCATTTTACTTGCAGCACTCGCCACACTGCATGGAGTGGAACGTTAATACAGTTTGCTGCGGTAAGGTTAAGTGAAACGGTAGCCTATGCTGTTAGAACACGCTACATCAGGAACCTCTGTATAATTTGCTAAAACCGGGTATATGCAAAGCGTGTCTGCTACCCCACTCCCCCCCCTCCGAAGACATAAATTATCTCCTGAAATTGCCAAAAGGATGCGCGAATCAGCTATTCTCATGCTGCTTCCGTTTGGGTTGAACCTGCACCAGGTGAGATATTCAACTGCCTAGCGTTCGCATAAACTACGAAGGAAAGTGAAGACCTAAGCGCAGCCTTTCTAATGTAGTTATACAGACTCAGCTTTCCACCAATCGG